TTACACTCTTTATATTGACAGTTCTAATTCTGATAGTAAACATGTTTATTCTGATGGCTAAGATGGGATGTAGATGTCACTGGTTTGGTTTAATATCTGGGAGAGTGCGGAAACAAGGGGCATGAATTGTATGTCACTGAATAAAGATTTCAATCAGGATCTTGCCATTTTTGTTTAAGTCAAGCAGTAGTCAGAAGAGTAGAAAAAACCTGAAACAGTTACTGAATTTTAAAGGTTTGAGCAGTGATTATGTTCTTACTGTTTAAATGCTATGGTCATTAATAAGAAGAATTTATTATCGGAGTGTGCTGTCTTATGACTAATCTAAGCTTGTCTCATCTTGTCTCATTCATATCTCATCCTTTGTGCCAGTGTCTCTTTCATTTTGGAACTGGCTTGTGTTCTAAGAGTGGAAAAAGATGGAGGCACAGGAGGAAAACTAGAATTAAATTCACAGAAGCTTCCCTCAGGTTGGATAAATTGCCAGGTCCTACAATGGAAACAAGCAACCCAGAGAAAACCAAGCTTGCGTAATATTTTGCTCACAGCATTTTTAAATGTCACTTGAGAAATTACAATTAACGGATTGTATTACAGGTTACAACAAAATGTCTAACTACTTTGGTTTTCATTTGTGACCTTGATTGATAGCTTTTCATTTCCTTGGTGTGAAGCAAAATTGTAGGATAAAAGATAATCAAGATCTCAAACCGAAAACCCATAGAGTGAGATGGAGAGGCATGTGAGATAACTGGCCTAGGTAGGACCGTGTGGGCTCCTTACTTGGTAATTACATCTTGAAGAGTAACTAGGAATGAGCGTTTGCTTTATATAAGCAATTGTGCTAAATGTCAATTGTCTTTCCTAGTAATTTTAGTCTTCTTTTAATACAGTCTTAAACAGTTCTTGGAGGCTTTTAAAATAAAATATTTTGAGTTTGTTAACTCTTTAATCACAGCTCTCATATGTCATCATAAGTGAGGCAAACTGAGGGGAAATATTTTCATCTGTTTTCTCTATTTCCCTCATTAGCATGCAGGATAGGATAAAGGATAAATGTGTGTGTATATATATAAATATATATATGTATATACACACATATTTCTATATATGGATAGATGCTAAGGGCTGCATACTCATGTGGGTAGGCCAGTCATTCAGAGTGGCTACTGAGACCAATTTGGAAGATGTGTACTTCCAGTCATTTGGTACTGCATACAAAGAGCTTGATTCTTTGAAAACTTGCCCTAAAATACAGCTAAACTGGCTAAGCTGTGTGGTTTTCTCAATAATAATCTCTTTTAATAATCTCTTTGCTTCTTCAGACTGTGTTCTTCATTAGGGCTTGGATAGCGTTTAATGATACAAATTCGGAGTCATATTAAGGCTTGCCAATTTGCATTATTAGCTTGAAGAATCATTGAGAGCTAGTCATTTTCTCAAATTAGCGAGTAAATAAGTGAATGTAGTAGAGAGAATGGGGCATGAAATATACTCTACTTGCTTAGTGTTAATTTTGCATAGTAACTTTATACTGTAGAAGTAAACATTTTTCAGTATGTATTTGAGGGGATAATCAAATCTGAGTACTGTGTCCTCACAACAAATACTCTGATGAAATCATTTTGTGAAAGTGAATGTTACATATCATTACAAAATAATTTCTGTTTTCCATGTGATGCACAGAACCTGGACATGCAGACACAGCAGAATTATGCAGTCACGCTTTGAGAAAACAAGAAGAAAGTGTATTTCTTCTTTTCCTGTCACATTTAGTTACTGTAGTCTCCATTTTTACTTGAATTCTGGAATGCGTTGATACAGCGTGAGCTTATAAGCTCAAGGAAAATGTATTGTAATAAAGATACTTTTCCCTTTCAAGGCCCAATAAAACTTCTGCATCCCATTTACATACTAGTACAAGCGAGAGAGGTTGTTGTCCTTTGCAGTACATCCATGAAACATCGTTAACCATAATGGGTTGGGTTTGTTGGTAAACACTGTGAGTAATGAAACAAAAGTCTAGGGTCTTCAGTTTGCAGAGGTCTGGTATCTAGAACTTTGAAATACCCGTAGAAGCAGAACAGAGAAACCTAGTGTTGGTATGTAGCTCTTTGAAACTAAACAATGAGAAACAGGGAAGGGAATTTTAAATCCAAGAAGTAAATAGAATGGAGGGAGGGATATGCTTTTGTTGTGGGCATTTCCATTTAACTGAAGGTCTGTCTGAGAAAAAAACTTGTTGTGTAGGAGACAGACAGAAGAGCAGGCACACCATAGCCTGTCAGAGAAACTGTGCTGAGTGGGAGGAGATGTGGAAGTCCTGGAGTCCGGGAGACAAGAGAAAAGGAAGAGCTCCAGCAGGGCTAACAGGTTATCCCACTGGGTAGAGCTCTGCCAAGAACAGCGGTAATGTTGGGAATCTCCTAAAATAGGAGTCTCTGGGCAAGAGCCAAAAGTGTTGAGGTCAGGAACACCACAATTAGAAGGTCTGAAAGCAGTTCTTCACTAAGAAAGCAAACTTCATCCTGACTGTGAAAAAAATGAAGCTTGGCCTTGCCAGAGGATAAATTCAGAGGAAGCTTTTCAGTATGTCTGGTGTAGGCAATGTTAAAAATAAAACTCAGCATGCTTTTGCAATTTCCAAGATAAGAAAGATTTTAAGAAAAAATATATGATAATTTTACACTATAAATAAAGTTTGAGGGGAGAAAAAGAGGCTGTGATTCTATGTAGGCAAGTTTCTTTACACGCGTTTGCTGTAGTTACAGGTAGGACTATGACACATTAGGAGAATATACCTGATGTAGTGGGCAGTCTGTGGATCAGTGTTGGGACTGGGTGGGTAAGCATATAGTATTTCTAAATGATAATAAAATCATATATGTATTGTGTATGGTGTTCTAATCCAAAGTTTATTGCCCTGATCCTGTTCCAGTAGTAAGTTTTTAATCAAATAGATTTACTTTGGCTTGAAAATTCTCATATTCTTTGCATAGATGAGTGAATGTGTGATCCTTGTATTCATCCATACAGCATTCAGTGTTAGAAGTATCTTGCAAAATGCATGAATCATTTAAAAAATGCTACATTATACTTCAGTATTAGAATACTAACCAAGCACGTGGAAGATTACTGCTAGTTATAGGTTAGTTGCTAATAGATTCTTTCCAGTGTGAGAAGGAAAACTAAAAAAGCAAACCAGCTTGGTTATCTGCAGTTTTCTCAGTGCTGTCCTGTCCTAGTGCAATTGAAAACAAACCAATCTGTTCATAATTCCTACTGCCAGCTCACTTTGTTAGCTTGGCAGTTCTCTGCACACGTGCTTGCTGGCCTCTCTGCCACCATGACAGAAATGGAAGAGGTAGTCTTATGTTCCTCCTTTGTGCCTCTGGTTTACTGCTTGTAACTTGAGGGCAGGAGAGTTGCCCACCAAAATATCATCGATCTTACTGTTAAGGGGCTTTTCTTGATGTCTATCCTGAATTTTCTTTGCTACAACCTTAGTAAATTATGCACTTTTCTATTTGTTTTAGCATTATCAACATGCAGAACAAGTCTTTCCCTTCCTCTTTGAATAACATTATCTTTTCCCCTTCAGTTTTCTATTTCTAGACTAAATAACACCAATTACAACAGTTTTCTTAAAGAAAAGTAACTTCCCTATTTTGATTTTTACAGTAGCACAGTGATTGTCTGTGTTACAGCAGGATGCACTCAGTGACCCTCTGGTAGTCCTTGTGACCTTCAAGTCCTTTTCTGCGAAATTCTAACTCATTTTTCCCTATTTGCCCAGTTTGCTAATCCTGCCAAAGCATTGAAACTAGCATTCAACCTTGTTATGCTGCATGTCCATCCCTTTTTTCCAGAGTAACGGGAACCTTTCAAATCATGTTCTTCTTGTGTGGTGTAATTGCAGAACACCTTGTTCATGCTGTGTGTAACTCCAATAAGAGCATTCAGTTCCATCTTCCAAGTAATTCCTGAGAATATTGGAAAATATCTGCCAGAGACAGAGGCTTCCTATGCAAGATACCCAAAATGCACACCACGGTTTTGGCAATAAATTGCTCTTAACAGTTGTTAGATGTAATTTTTTAATTGTTTATGTCCCAGGATTGTTGATGGAAATACTAGAATATTACACAAAGTTGTATTAAAAGAGATGCTACAACATGTATGCTATATGTCACCATCGTATGCAACATACATAAAATTTATCTGAGTAATTTTCTACATTTGTAATGTAGAGGACAGCTGTAAAGACAGCTAAAACAACTATGTTACCTACTGACTGAAAAAAGAGACTTCATTTAATTGGGAAATTACTTCAGTGTTTCCATAGCAAGTTGGCTTCTCTGAAACAAAATTCTTACTTACCACAGTATTTGCATTAATTCCGGTTAGAACGTATTTCTAATGAATTTCCCCTTAGATTGACTAACTTGGAAGTATTATCCAGAGCAGATTCTTCTAAGTAGACCAGCTTGTCGTATGGTCAGAAATGCAGTTCTTATTTTGTAAGGCTGAGGTTTTTATGTTACGTTTGCTATGTTTTATGTATTGCAGAATTTTGTGTAATATATTAATCCTTTGTCATCTCAGCTCAGCATGTCATGAGATACGGACTTTATGTTCTCCAGATGATGATGTCTTTGGTTAAGTTAATGTAATAAAGGGGTGAAGATTTTACTCTCCTGTCATCTTTTATAAAAGTTTATTTTAGCTTTACCATCCCGGAGCCATTGACAGCAAGGTAATTAGTGTGCTCACTGCTTCCTGAAAATATATCAGAAGAAAATGTGTGTGAAAGTGTGTAGACTTTTGTCACACTTTAAATGACATTAAAATGTTACCATACTAAGTTAAAAATACTTGGTTGTTCTACTTATATACTCGTAACAAGTTAAAAAGCATAAATACATTTTTAGCTGTATATTAATTTGGGCTTTAATATCACTGTTTTCTCACTACAGTATCTTCTCATATTTTCTCCCTAGAATGGTTTCACTCCATTGTACATGGCAGCTCAAGAGAACCACATTGAAGTGGTGAAATATCTCCTGGAGAATGGAGCCAACCAAAGCACAGCTACTGAGGTGACTTATATTTTTCTTTTTTTACACTCTTATTTTCCTTTGCCTGTATATTCAGTGATCTGAAGATCTGCAGATGGAGTTTTTTGAGAGCTTTCACTTATTCATTTAGCTGAGTTGTATTTATGGATTTTTCACTTTTTTTTTTTTTTTTCCCCCCACAAACAAACACATTAGATGGACAAACTGTTCTGGTAATTGTGAGAAGTCAAAGAATGAAATCCAGCCTGAATTATTTGACAGCGAATCATCCACTGACTTTAGCGAGCCCAGGATTTTCACCTTTAGTATATGCCCATTTCTTCATTCAGCTTCTTGGATATATTTTTGAAAAATGAATGAGACTTTGAAATGAGTTCCCAAAGGATGTAGAAATTGTAGGAGGCTAAGATGACCTCAATGGAATGGTATTGCCAGGTGAGTTAGGAGCAGATTGATCATAGGATAAGTGAAGAGGTACAGCCTTTCCTCTTGAACAGTCACTGTTTCAGATTTACATCTTTGGCAAGTCCCATGAAAACTGAAGCATCTAAGAGTGCCACCACCTGATACTGTCTTGCGCTGCTTCTCTATTTGTACAGTAACATCGGGGCAAAAATTGGTGAATGGAATTATTATAGCATGTATCTCCAAATCTTGTCTGGAGAGAAAGGGGTCTCATGGGGAAGATAAATGACTAATGTGAATTGCATCGATGAGCTTACCAGGGAATGTGTTGGTTATCCTCACATGGTTTACTTCTACCATCAAATCATGTGGGAATAAGTGTACAGAAAGATGGTATTCGTTGCTAGGATCTGGATTTCACTGCCTGAAGCAACTTTAAAGCAAGCAAAACAGATGCCAGTGGAAGAGATGAATCTCCATCTCAAGAGCTTCCTTTCACAAATGAAAGGCTTTTGGGACAATGAAGGAAACTTCTAGATAATGCAGAATGTGTTCCCCCGACTTCTTGTTACTCTGCTTCAGCCAAATCTTAGCTTGTTCTCAGCTAGGAGAACAAGTGACCAGACTCTGTGCTACAAAGCTTATTGGCATCGTGTTTAGTCTATATAAGTGGAAATGCAATGTGAAGTAGTAACAAAAAAAAAGTTCCTCCTCTCTCAGAGAGCTTCTTCTCATGTCTATTACTTTTCCCTAGTCTGTACAGAAACTTACCCATTCCAGATTATCTTCACGAATGGATATATTCAAGATGATGGTGCATTTATGCTTGCTTTCCTTTTCATTAAACTGATCTGCTAGTGTTAACAGCTGCTTTACCATCCCTTCTTTCAATGGATACTGTACCATTTGATGACAGCTCCTAAAATAATCCTTTTGAGGCCTGCATGCACTGAGATCACATTACATTGCAGCTTTCTGAAATATGAAGTCCAATGTGATCACCAGGCAACTTGGCAGAAGCACGCCTTTTGTGACCGAGTCGCAGGGGATCTTTGGCTCTCCCAGGGCCCAGCCTGGCTACAGCATGCAGTCACCTGCTCTCAGTCTTTCACCGAATAACTTTTATTGACTGTGATGAGGAGCAGTGATCATTAGATTACAGGAACTGTGAAGATGATGTGGTTACAATTCATGTGGCCTCTGCTTGAACACAGACATCAAGGCATCATTGGAATTTGCAGGGTTGTCTGATTTTGTAAAAAAAAAAAAAAAGACAGGGAAGGAGAAAAGCCAACTGGACCCACTCTGAACTTGAGTCCAAGTCTGTCTTCTGTCATCAGAAAAGTCAGATCTTACTTTTGTGGCCTGAAAAGTAAGGTCTGTCTATCCCCTTATCACTTACCTAGATAAGTTTTGGTTTCAAACCTTGCTCAGGTGGTGTCTTTAGTGATGCGAATATTAGTGAAACCTGTATTCAGTAGAAAACTGAGCTACTGTCTGCTTTCACATGTGCCTTGAATTTAAGTCTTATGAATGGAACAAAGAAGTGATACATTGATAAGGTGAGACAGCATCAAAAGACTTTGGAAGGACATTCTGTTTGACCTCAAAGACAGACTGTTCTCACGTGAGGAGGTGGAGAAATGAAATACTTTCTCAGGGCTCCTGTTAGCCATGCTACCTACAAGTAAAAGGAGGGACAATGCAAGAATGGCAATAGCTGCTCAGAGAAAGATGGAAGATAAAGTGGGACAAATCAAACTGTTGATCTTGTGTTTGAAGCTCTGAAACAGGCACTGCCTTTGGATGTACTTTATTCCCTCTATTTTATGTGTCCCTCACTTTATATGTGTAGGTACAAAATCAGAGTCAGGATGATCTCAGTTTCATGGGGCCTCTAATCCAGGATTTGTTCTCATGTTTCCAGAGGCAAAAGGCAAATGCATTAAGCCATTTCAGCACCTAATGTAGCCCCAATCTCAGAATTATCTCTGCAGTTCAGCTGTTACATCAGCTGTTCACTACATTTTATTTCACTGTACAGAATTTAATCTCTATTACAGAAAGAAACTGTATGAGTATAGCTGTTACAGCACACTTACCCACAGTTCAGTGCAAAAGGGAGTGAATGTTATTAGTTTACCAGGGGAGAAAATTGCTTTGGCAATTCTTCAGATGCTTCTTTCAGCATGTTAGCACTCATTCCTTCCCTACTTATCCTTTATTATTTTACATCTTCCTATTTTCGTATTCCCAGTCAGTTCTATCTCTTTCCTATGCCTTTTACAATGTGTCTTAGTTTGCTTAGGCAGTTTGGCCATAATAAACTCTTCAGCTGTTCCTTCTGATCTACACACGGAAAACTTTGTTTTATTCCCCTCCCTTTTCGTAGCACTATTATCCACCAGCCTTCTTGTCACAGACTCAGTTTGTGAGGAACCACTGCTGCTTGTGGTTTAGCTGCCTTTCAGTCTAGCATGTGAACGTAGCACATGTGCTTAGACAACATGCAAAACTTGAGCTTTTAGATTTATTGTTTTAGGTATAGTTTTATAGATGAGGTACTTGAGCAGGCAGTACTTCAGTTGAGACACAAGTTTTGAGTTTTGATACATTTTAAAGTATTGGGAGTTCAGGGCATGTGTGACAGAGCATGAAATTTTGAAAACAATTTAAAAACAAATCTAAAAACACAAAGGAAAAACAGATTTTTCTGATTTTCAGAAAAATATATAATGTTTTTCCACTTAGAATTTGAATAAATTACTAAATATTAGCTGCCTTTGTGAGTTATAGGCCATATATAAACTAGAATGGGAAACAGAAGCAAATGCATCTGGAGATATATTTTCTTTTCTTTTACACAAATATTGCTAGAATACACATTGTGGTCCATTTTATGACAATTAGGACAGATACTGTAGAATGATCCTTTGCCTGTACTTGAACAAACAAAACTTTGAACTAAAAAAAGCATTCTTCTGATGTGTTTGAAGTCACATCTGGATTAAAATGTTGTGCCTCTGATGCCATTTCACTGGTGAGCATTGTGGTGCAGAGGCAGAAAAGAGCTGGTGATGTGCTTAGCATATTTCTGTGTGTGAACAGTGCTGTGCAGTTTGCTGCAGCCCTGTGTCCTTCATCTTACTGAGTATGTTTTGTTTTTTTCTCTTGCAGGATGGTTTTACTCCCTTAGCTGTTGCTCTGCAACAAGGACACAATCAAGCAGTGGCTATCCTGCTGGAAAATGACACCAAGGGGAAAGTGAGATTACCAGCTTTGCACATTGCTGCCAGAAAAGATGACACCAAATCAGCAGCGCTCCTACTGCAGAACGACCACAATGCCGATGTGCAGTCCAAGGTAACATAATGCTGTCCTACAGGAAACAGGGCACTCATGTGGCTGAGTGCCAATGGGCAGCCAGCTTTTGCTTCCTTCATCTTAAGGGTTGAAGGTAATTTCTTCTGTGGGGAAAGATGAGTCTCTAGACCAGTATCACCAGTAATGTTTCTAATTCTGTCTTGTTTAGCCGCACAGTAATTACAAGCTACACATTTTTTTTTTGCTTTTTGTTTATATCTCTCATTTCAGTGATAACCAACTTTCTCTTATTATTTATAAACCAAAGAAATACGAATGGAAGCAAAATCACTGCTTCCCTATCAAATAGGATACTGGTTTATTGCCTGTGGGAAAATAGGTTATATTTAATGTTAATGCATGCTTGAATGGCTTTTCCCATTATAACAGCATAACTCATTTCAAAAAACAACTTAGTTCTTGGTTTTGCAGCCAATCTTTAATATCTTTCCTCTTTTTCCCAAACCATGCTGCATCAGATGATGGTGAATAGGACGACTGAGGTACCGAGATAAAAAATTTTTAATTATTCTTTCTATTATTTATGATTATTTTCTCTGCTCTGTGACAACATTTCTTTATTATTTATCACTAAAAGTGAAGTTGTGACTTTTTAGATCTGTAACACTTTGTCACTCAGCAAACCTGTTATTATTCATTCTTTGTCTTAGCATTTCTTTTTATTTGTGACTGTTACCATATTAAGTAAACTTCTCAGAACTTGCACTCAGTTCAAAGAAACCTGAAGTGTGTAATGGAACTAGAATACTGGAGGTGTTTCTCTAGCTCAAGTAATTTAATTATGACAATGCACTTACTTGGCATAACTAAATTAAGGTATATCTGGCTGAGCCAGAAGCATTGTAAAATACATTTTGAGTAGAAAAAATAACTGAATCCTCCAAGGTAAAAAAAAACTTGTTCAGTGCATCTGTTTACTTTTACCGTTGTTCTTATTGTGATCTTTTTCAATGAAGTTTTCAGAAGTCCTAAAGGGATAACACTTAGTACATTTTTTTATACTGATGGAATGTAATGACTCTCTGAGCATGTCCACTAAAAACGTTATGTCAGATTGACTAGAACTGTGATTTCTCCCTTAATCATTATTGTCACATTTAGGAAAAAGCAGTATTTCCTAGAACGCAGTCATTGTTTGAATCCTGCCTTTTAAATAATCATTTCTTTGTTAGATGAGGGAATGAATTTTGAATGCGTGCACACGTGAATATGCTCTGCATTTGGTTTGTGCATACATGAGCAAATTGCTATGAGGCAGCCTGCAGTGGGAATTGAAATGGTGACAGCTTCTCGCTGCCATCTGCCTATGGACATGTTCTTTTACAGTAAATGTAAAGCTATTAACAACTTTTTCACTGGCCATTCATTACATTACCTCTAAGTACCTTGCATTTGTCACAGAGCAAATACATGTGCTGAGAAGTTGTATAAATACAATATTAATTCACTCTGTAACTTAATACACAGGATCACCTGTGAGATAGCAAAACAGTTAATGGAAATATGTTAAAATAATAGGCTGATTGCTCTATCAAGAATAAAATTGATTTCAGGGTGCAACAACTGTCTTTATTCCACATTTTTATGCACTTTAGACACTTCTTTATTCCATGAGCAGTTTAAAATAATAATTGGTACACTGAAAGAAAGGTTTTTGAATAAACAGCACAGTCCAGAAGTGAAAAGTATTTCTCTTTCCCATAACTGTCAGTAAGACTGTAAGATCTGATCAAATCAGTGTAAAGCTCTTCAGGGAAACCTTAAAAAATGAGGTCCTTTCTACTTGAATTACTTATGAGACTAAAAGCTTGCTGGGTGTCCTACTTTCTTTTTTATTCTGTTGTCAGATAATTCCGTATCTTGTAAATGAAGCATGGTTCACCTTCTAGTGCTCAAGTGGCAATACGTAAATCCTGTTTTTTTCTGATGTATAGATTGCAAAGTTTCTTCAGATCCTTTCAGATCCATAATGTATAAAAAGTGAATAAGTATTGTTCTTAGAATATTCAGTCTGTTTAGCAAAGTTTCTCATGTAGACTAAACTCCTGGTATTGAATATCCTCTGCTTTCTTTTTATAAAAGAAGGAAATGTGTTGTCAAAATTTGTAATTCTTTGATGAGTACAACAGGAGTCCAAGAACTTGTGCTGACTTTTAGGCAAAATTGCTGAACAGATGCAGGCTAAAAGCCCCATGTTATTTCTGAATTGTAGTAAGGAAATTCCCTTCATTTTCTTTAAGGATGAATGATATATTAATGTTTTCTGTGATGAAAGTTACTGACCTCTTATTGGCTTGCAAAAAATAAAAGAAGGAAGCACATTTGATAATCTCCCATGTGAAAACTACATGCTCTGCCTGAAAGACTTTGCTATATCATAGGTGAACTCAATAAAAACACAACTATTTGCCAGCAACTTTTAAAATCAAGTTCTAGTAAAGTTGATTGTATTGTATACATTGATTTCTATAAATAAAGATTGTTTCCTTTTGTAGAGTGGCTTTACACCTTTGCACATAGCTGCGCATTATGGAAACGTCAATGTGGCAACGCTTCTGCTAAACCGAGGAGCTGCAGTTGATTTCACAGCAAGGGTATGGAGGAGCTTTTGTTTCTTTGAGTCGTAATGGCCTATGAAGGTGGGAGAGTATCTTTGTGTAATTCCTGGTCAAGAATAAGTGAGGAGCAAAACAATGCTGAAATTCTATTGTGTTTAAAAGTCTTTCTTTCTTTCTTTCTTTCTTTTTTTTTTTAATTAATTTTTTAAAGTTGTCTCCATGTAATGCAGCAGAGTCCTTGGGAATTTATAGCAACCAGTACTCCCAGCTGCTGGAAGCAGACTGCTTTGACTTATTCCAGAGTGCTGATATGCTCAGGATGTGTCAACTCATTTTAGCTTTTTTGTCAGTTAGATACCCTTTAGAAATATATTTTTTTCCTGTCTGTTAAAGGTTCAATATTTGCTAGAGTAATTTGCCTATTTTCTCATATTTTCTCATTTAAACCTATTTTGAAATAGTGAAGTAAGGTACACTGCCATACCACAGTATAAGTACTAATTTATCCCAGACTACAATTTTAGGTAAGCTACTGAAGAGATACATAATATAGTCTACATGCTGTACAGTGATGCACATTGCTTGATTTGAAGTATGTCATCTGGTGCTATAACAACCTCTGATCATCTGTATGTCACTAAAGCTACTGGGTCACAAATTTCTGATAATTACGCATTTCCAGGCACAATTTGAATTACTTTAGGGTTGTGCCTTTCATACTGATTTCCTCTTCTTGCCTATCTGGAAGAGCTGCTATTATCTCATTCCCCACTCAAAGCATCTGCAAGGACTTTCAGCCTAAGCAGGATCTACTCCTTTACATTATTTACATTACATTTATAAGATTACTTTGTGCAGGATTCATGCATTCGTGTAATCTGTGTGTTGCAAAGATTTAAATGCGTCAGTGTTTTGTGAATATTGGCTCATTGGGAATCTGCTGTATGTTTATTTGTCTGACTCTGGGACTGTGATGTTTGCCGCTTTGACAGATGTGCTACTTTGTTTATGAAACAGTCAAACAATGAATAAAACTCTTACCTAGAAAGGAACTACTAACTCTAGCTTATATGGTGCGTGCCTAGGTCTGATGCTCTAGTATGTTTTTGTTTATTCTCTATTAATGTGATTGTATCATTTTTGTGATCCAAACACAAAATTCACCATCATCAAACACCTTCAAATCTGTCATGCTCATTGTTTGTTCTTTTCATGGTGTAGAATGGAATCACCCCACTGCATGTCGCTTCCAAAAGGGGAAACACAAACATGGTGAAGCTCTTGTTGGATCGTGGAGGGCAGATCGATGCCAAAACCAGGGTGAGTGCTTCTATTCCCTGAATATGATGTTATCCCTTCTTGGGAATGGATTGCGATTTTTTACTTGCTTGGTTTTTTTGTTTCTTTTTAAGCCAAAGACTGGGAACATCAAGATGCATAGCTAGGCATTCTGCTTCAGTAATTGTGTTATATGTTCTGTCCTTAAACTGAGACATTAGATGCAGCTGTTATAAATGACTCAAAAAAAAACCCAAACAACCCAACAGTAAAAAATACTCAGCTGAACAGAGTTCCAAAAACTCAGCTAATCCTTTTGGTCCCCTGACTCCTGCTTTTTTATTCCAGTCACCATGAGAAGGAAAACTGTTAGTGGACTTAATATTGAAGAGTCAACACTAGGAACAAGTAATTTAACACTGCTGCAGCAGCGCATCTCCTCTTCTCTGGATTAAGCCACAGCAATACTTTGCTCTTTATTCATTCAGGGCAAAAGAAAAACCCACCAATTTGAATGTGCAGGATTAATTAATAATTTAAAATTGGATTTTGAAGCCATCTAAGAAAACGCAGTTGTTAATGCAAACTGAGTATCATGGGACTTGTCCATGAAAGCTGCTGATTTTTTAGCACTGATCTGCAAGGTTTTATATACAAGTATTAGACGATGTTTCAGAACACAATAGTTTAGAGCTGTATAAAGGAGCAATGTATTTTTTATTTAATAAAGTAGAAAAGTAGGGAATATTGCATTCAGCTGTGCTTGTGGTTTATTTAGCTGCAGCTGTTACTTTTTAATTCACATTTTGTTGACCTTTTTTTTTGCTTAATAAGCTAGGAAGGCAAAACACGATTGTTATGCTACTCTGCATGTGAATATGATTTCTGATTTCTCTCTTGATTTTATTTATCTATTTTTTTTTTTTTAAACTGATCATGATGGAAGATGAAAGCTCTCATGAAGGTGTGCAGTAAATCATCCCTGATCAAATTCTCCATTATCTTATGGTAAAAAAAGGTATAAAACTGTGATAATGCACTGCAGTAAGGATATTCCACATTTGTGTAAGCACAGCAGTCATACGGAAACAGTGCATTTGGCCTATGGGATGATAGTATTGAATTCACCTATTTCTTGTTCAGTATTTAGATATTTGTTTTGGACAAGTTAGCCCAGGTGATTGTACGTGACTTCATGGATTTTATGGGGTTAAGTCATATTCCCACACACCCGGAAAGGCTAAAATGCAGTTGTGAATTAAACTGAAAGAGTAAGATTTTGCCCAGTGTGGGTGGAAGGCTCTAAATTTGGAGTCTTTGCATTGTCTTGGCTTCCTGCCCTTTGTCAGCTGCTAGATCATCTCAAAAACTGTCGGCAGAAAAATATCAGTGGGAAATGATAAAGGTGTCCTAAAGCACATATATTCCAGCTTGCACAGGCTCAGCAGCTTCTTCTTGCTTCCATCTTCTGCCTTCCCTCTGCTCAAAGACACGTGATGGTGGTTGGCTGTGTGTACTTTCTAGTGGGGGAGATTCCAGGCTTTGGTTCTGCTGTCACTGTCTCCCCATGCCGTGCTCTTGTCTCCATGCCAGCTGTTTATGTAGTCTCGGTGTCTTTTTCTTTCCTCTTTGCTTTGTCCGCATGCCTTGTGCTTTGCTATGGCCGTGAGTATGTAGGGTATTGACGAGGTAGGTTGTGTGTTGCATGTGTGCATATGTGTGTGTTGTGCTTTAAAGGAGAGACTTCTGCCTTGTCCTCCTCAGTACTAACATGCTTGCCTTTCCATATTTGCCTTTTCATTTCTCTTTAAGAACCCTTGCATTTTTCCAGTAGGTCAGATTCACTGAAAAACAGTGGAATTAAATGTACTCTTGGCTTTTATTTGCCATCTTCAAACTGTATCAAAATATGCTCTTTGTTTAAGAAGCAGTCATTGCTTTCATACATTTTATTTTTAACCATTTTACGTGACATTTTATGATGCCTAGCTTAAGATGTGAAAGGTTATTTTAACAAATCTTAACTAAATCCAAGTCCTTTAGCTTTACACAGTTAATCTATGAAATCTTCTACTGCTTGAAAACATTGAAAGTAGGTATTAGGAGCTGATGTTCTGTCTACAGAAAAACTCCAGTCAAATTAAAATGTACACTCTTCAAAGTGAGTAAATAATGAATGTGTCCTCCTGTTCCATAGTTAATGTTGCACGTCAGAGAAGAGCTCTACTTACTGAAGGAATTAACTATTTCTGTTTTGTTACGTTTCACGTTTTCAATTTTTTCTCACTCAAGATACAGAGTTGCAAGGAAGTCCATTTGTTTCCTTTGTATGTTTTAAAACAATGTTTTACTTAAGGTTTTTTGTTATGTTTCACAGATTTTTTTTTTTAACCATTCTTCTCAACTAACCACTAAGTAAATTCTTAAAATGTGGGATTTCATTTCTCTCTTAAATTATATGAAAAACAAAAATATAAACTCAATTTCCAACACTATTGATAGGAAACTTTTATTGTCAGTTACATTTGCATTTCTGTTATTTGTTACACAAAAGCTTCATTTGGAGTTTTGTTTGCTAAATGACTCACAAGTAAAAATGTCATATGCTAAAGTACTTCATATTTAAAATTTCAGTCAAATGTATAATCTCCAAAATTTTTGTCTGAATAAGGACTTCAGGGACATGTTTTTAAAATACATTAAGATTTAGCTAAACTTCTGACCTTCACCATCTTGCTATGGTAGACCAGTGGGTCTGGGTTTTAGAAGCAGGCTTTGGCTTGGCGTCAGGTGCAGCAACTTGTTCTTTAAAAGATGGTGGAAATCAATTTCAATTAAACTAATGTCATCTGATCAAGAGTAATATGTCAGTTGTCAATTCTGACTTTGAGGGAAGGAAAGCATTTACAATTTTCCTGAAAACTGATGTGTACAAAGGGTTATTGCTGGGAGAATTATTTTACCATTTACGCAGAGCAGTTTCAGCATGCCAGTAGTAGACATTTCTATTACTTTTTCCCATTGGTAGTAACAATAAAGGTGATTAGATATCTTCATGGGATTGACATGTTGGAGGGGCTTAGCCTTTGATGAATGTAGTTCTTGAAATTTGTCTCTTTTATATGTAGCATAGGAAAAAAAGAGAAAAATTGTGAGGCTTTTTTGAGTTTTCTGTTTCCCTTTTTACTTTTAAAATACAGTGTTCTTCACAGGCTCTTTTCACCTAACTGGTATTTCCTTTTTTGTGTGACTACGCAAACAGCCTCAGAAGGTGGGAAGAAACTGCCTATCTCACATGCTGAAGTTATCACACAAATCGAGTTATTTATGTTAAATGTTGCCAACAGTGAAATTCTGTTTTTCTTGCTCTGGGATTATTTATTTATATATTTACTGTGCTGAATGAGCTATGGGCATCCCTTAATGCTCATTCCAGGAACCTATTGTGTTTTTTTTTCTTTTTTTTTTCATAAGATGTCAGAACAGATGTGCCTGTCTACATTTACAAATGGTTGTTGTCTTCCTGTGACTAAGCTAAGCCATGTTGCGCTCAGATCCTAACACTGTCTTGGGCCAATGCTCTGGTTACAGAGTTTATTCCTGCAGTAAGGCTGCTGTGACATTTTCTCCTGGTCTTAGCAAATGGGCAGATCAATAATAATTCATTGGCAGTGTTTGCCACTCCTAAAGGAATGCTGAATTATAAATATCTAATTACAATACAGATACTGCTATAAAAAATTTAGTGGATTAAAATAATATTTACAAAGTGTGGGATGATGTTGTACTGATCATCTAGGCAAGCTGCATAGATGGTGACTATTACTGAGAGTTATTTAAGTTAATAATCTATTACTCAGGCAAACACGTAGTATAATTTTTACTGTATTTTTCAAATCCTTACTTTGAGGGGCATACTTGGAGGAATATTTTAGAGCATGTTCACAGAATCACAGAATTGTAGGGGTTGGAAGGGACCTCCAGAGATCATCGAGTCCAACCCCCCTGCCAAAGCAGGTTCCCTACAGCAGGTCGCACAGGTCGGCATCCAGGCAGGTCTTGAACATCTCCACAGAAGGAGACTCCACCACCTCCCTGGGCAGCCTGTTCCAGTGCTCCGTCACCTCACTGTAAAGAAGTTCTTGCGCACATTTGTGTGGAACTTCCTATGCTGCAGTTTCCGGCCGTTTCCCCTTGTCCTGTCTCCACTCACCACTGAAAACAGTCTGGCCTCGCCATTCTGCCCCCCACACCTCAGATATTTATAGACCTGGATCAGGTCCCCTCTCAGTCTTCTTTTCTCAAGGCTGAACAGACCCAGTTCACTCAGCCTTTCTTCATAAGAGTTCAATTATATCAAGACTTTGAGAGCTAAGAACAAGAACAAGAGGTATGCTTACCTTGTTCTTTTCTAAAGATGTGTGGTTTAATAGTAACACTAAAACGAGCAATTGAAAAGTTCTTTACGCGTTAAACAAATTTGGACCATTTTGCTTGTCAAACATACAGAATAGTAAGGTTTCATTTTACCCTCATACAAATGACAATATTCAACTGCACTTTGCAAGACTTCCGTGATAATTTGGCCTTTGAATTTTAAGTACAATAACAGTCTTCATTAAAATGAGCATCAGATGAGCAAAACTCTCCTTCTGCTATGATACTGCTCACACAATTTCCCATTTCCCCAAGATTCTCTTGGAAGCATATTCTTATTATTTCACTATTTCTGGTAAACTGAAAGAAAGCACTTTAATTACTATGAAATGACCTAATAATTTATCTGCCCAGATTCTGCAGTTTGGATTCATACATGGAATTAAAAAATGGTTTTGTGGGTTGAAAAATGACCAGTGATTGATCTTCAGGAAAAAAAAAAGGCAGAAGTTTAATTTCTATTTTGTGGCAACCATTTAAAAGGAAAGTGAACGTGATGAAATTTCATTGCCTTCATAAATACAGTGTGGACTGTAGTGTCGTTTCAAGCAGTGACCCACCTGCTGGATACGTTGCAGCGTGTGCTAGGAGAGTACCACATACCAGAACAATTGAATGCCAGGTACAGGAAAATAACATTTTCTTGTGCCTCTTGGAAAATTTAAAAAAAAAAAAAAAGTTTTGGAAAAACAAACAAACAAACAACACCTAACACTTCCATTATATATATTATTTGAGATGAGAGGTGAAATACTGACCTTCTAAAGACAAAGATATATGGAATTTCTTATTTCTTCCTGTGCTTCAAGTTTGCATCTCTTCAACCCTATGTTGCATGTCCAGTCAAAGTACATGTTTGTTATTTCAGTCAGCATGTGTTCTTCACACTATGAGATGTACCAGCTTGCAATGGAATAATTAAAAAGGGGTGTAGGCAAACCCCTGCAACAGAGCAGCAAGGATCGTTGCTAATAGATAATAGTGCAAAAGCAGACTCATTTGGTACAGCAGTGTCTTTTACTGTTGATTATTGTCAGTATGTCCTCATTGTTTTAGGTACTAATTCTACTACAACAACTCTCTCTTTTCAGTTCCCCTCATCTCTGAATAAAACATAAGCACAAATAGAATCTGAGGTATTAAATGTACAGTAAGTTTTAAAATATGCATACTGTTTTACTTAGTGCAGAAAGAGGGAAGAGAGTTCCTGGGAAAACTGCAGAACTTATTGCTTAATTTGCCTACAGAGAAGTGCACAGATAGTAAATGTGCACGTTTATAAAATTTAAAACAAAATCTAACAGACTATATATTTTAGTCTATTTTACAGGCAATTATTAGCTAAGAACAAAGGAGAAAAAGGTGTCCTTTCTTTCTTTCTTTCTTTCTTTCTTTCTTTCTTTCTTTCTTTCTT